TGTTGGTCATGCAGGTTGGAAGCGATGAGGTTGCGGAGAGAAGTACGAAAGCAATTGAAAGGGACTTCAGGGCACTGGGGCGATTGATCAGAGGATCAGGAGCACAGGTAGTGTTCTCCTCAATCCCCGCAGTGGCAGGGATGAATACTGAGAGGATCAGGAAACACACCTGATCAACACCTGGCTCAGAGGCTGGTGCCAGAGGTGCAATTTTGGGGTTTTTTTATCATGGGGAGGCTTGTGTGGCACCAGGCCTGCTAACAACAGGTGGAGTTCACCTGTCTCATAGGGGGGTAAGGATTATCACTTGTAAGCTGACAGGGCTCATCAAGAGGGCTTGGAACTGGGTTTGAAGAGGGAAAAACCAGGCCCACTACAGACAAGCCTCGGGGTGGCATGCTGAGGTTAGGAGTGAAATCAACAATTCAGCTCAAGTGCATCTACACTAATGCATGCAGCATGGGCAATAAAAAATAGGAGCTGGAGGCCATTGTGCAGCAGAACAGCTGTGACTTAGTCACCATCACACAAACATGATGGGACGAGTCTCATAGCTGGAGTGCTGCAATGGATGGCTATAAGCTCTTCAGAAGGGATAGGCAAGGAAGGAGAGGAGGTGGGGTGGCTCTGTAAGTTAGGGAGTGTTTTGATTGTATAGAAATCAACAACTGTGAAGATAAGTTTGAGCGCTTATGGGTAAGAATGAAGGGAAAGGCCAACAAGGCTGATATCCTGCTGGGAGTGTGTTATAGGTCACCTCATGTGTAGGAAGAACAGATGAAGCATTCTATAAGCAGCTGACAGAAGTCTCGCAATCTCTCCCCTTTGTTCTTGTGGGAGACTTTAACTTGCAAGACATCTGCTGGAAATACAGCACGGCAGAGAGGAAGCAGTCTAGGAGGTTCCTGGAGTGTGTGGAAGATAACTTCCTGACACAGCTGGTAAGCGAGCCTAACAGGGGAGGTGCCTGGCTTGACCTCCTGTTCACAAACAGAGAAGGATTGGTGGGAGATGTGGTGGTCAGAGGCTGTCTTGGGCTTAGCGGCCAAGATAATGATAGAGTTCTCGATCCTTGATGAAGTAAGGAGAGGTGCCAGTAAAACCACTAACGTGGACTTCCAAAGGGCAGACTTTAAGCTGTTCAGGAAGTTGGCTGGGAGAGTTCCTTGGAAGACAGTCCTGAAGGGTAAGAGGGTTCAAGAGGACTGGACATTCCTCAAGAGAGGGGTCTTAAAAGCACAGGAACAGGCTGTCCCCATCTGCAGAAAGACAACACAGCAGAAAAGACAATCAGCCTGGCTAAACAGGGAGCTTTTGCTAGGACTCAGGGAAAAAAAGAGAGTCTATCACCTCTGGAAGAAGAGTCAGTCACCCCAAAAAGAGTACAGGGATCTTGTTAGGTCATGCAGAGTTAAAATTAGGAAGGCAAAAGCCCAACTTGAACTCAACCTGGCTGCAGTGGTAAGAAATAATTAAAAATGTTTTTACAAATACGTCAACAACAAAAACAGAGCCTTGGAGAATCTCCATCCCATGTTGGATGCAGGGGGGATCATTGTCACCAAGGACAAGGAAAAGGCTGAGGTGCTTAATGCCTTCTTTGCCTTAGTCTTCAACAGTCAGACCAGATATCCTCAGGCTTTTCAAGTCGCTGAGCTGGCAGGCAGGGACAAAGAGCAGAATAACCTTCCCACAATCCAGGAGGAAGCCATTAATGACCTGCTATGCCACCTGGACACACACAAGTCTATGAGGCCAGATGTGATCCACCCGAGAGTACTGAGGGAGCTGGTGGAGGAGCTTGCCAAGCCACTCTCCATCATTTATCAACAGTCCTGGTTAAGAGAGGAGATCCCAGAAGACTAGAAGCTTGCCAATGTAATGCCCATCTACAAGAAGGAGGACCCAGGGAACTACAGGCCTGTCAGCCTGACCTCGGCACCTCGGAAGATTATGGAACGGCTCATCTTGAGTGCGCTCACACGGCATGTACAGAACAACCAGGGGATCAAGCCCAGCCAGCATGGGTTCTTGAAAGGAAGGTCATGCTTGACCAACCTGATCTCCTTCTATGACCAGGTGACCCACCTAGTGGATGAGGGGAAGGCTGTGGCTGTCATCTACTTGGGCTTCAGCAAGGCCTTCAACTCCGCGTCCCATAGCATTCTCTTAGAAAAGCTGGTGGCTCA